AGCGTGACCGTTTTGGCTCCAATGAGGCCTACTAGGCCCAAAACAGAACGGGGCCCATTTTGGCTCCCAGGAGGCTGCAGGGAGGCCTACTAGGCCCAAAACAGAGTGTGGCCCATTTTGGCTCCCAGGGGCTTGCAGGAGGCCGAGTGCTGCCTGTCATACACATCCTGTCCATGGCCACCACGGCCACGGCCATCCAGCCGGTCCTCGGGGCAAAGAACCGGTCATTAAAATGATTTGAATCCCGCCACCATCCCCCCCCCCCGGCCTACCACAGTTGGCTTCGTCGGAGCCGTCCTGACAATCTTGCCGCAGGTCGCAGCGGCGTTCCAGGCTCAGGCACTCCCCGCTCTGGCAAGAAAACTGCTTGGAGGAGCAGGTGCTGGGGGGCCCCGTTGGGATCGGGGGGGCCAAGGTGTGGGCCGTGGGGGCCATGGGACCACCTGCAAAAAGCCAAGAGGGGGAGAGCAGTTTGGTGTCATCTTAGCGGTGTTGGGCTGGTTGACCGTGCTTTAACAACAGTTTCTAAGCTAAACCCCACTTCTCCTTCATTAGCTATCTTCTCCTTCTCCTTCTTTCTGCTTTTCCACATCTTTAGTTCCTCTCATTATACTCTTCCTCCTCCACCACCACCGTCTCCTTCTCCACATTTTCTTTCTCTTTCTCCTTCTCATTATCTTCCTCCTCCTCTATCTTCTCGAATCTCTTCTTTCTCCTTCGCCGCATCTATTCTTCTTCTCATTATCCTCCTTCTTATCTATATTCTTCTTTTCTCCTTCTTCTGCTTATCTATCTTCTCCTTCTCGTACTCATCGATTAGCTCCTCCCCATCCTTCTCATTATCCTCCTTATTCTCTTCCTCCTCATCTATCTTTTCCTTCTCCTTCTCCACATCTATTCTCCTTCTCATTATCCTTATCTATATTCTCCTTCTCCTCCTCCTTCTCCTTCTGCTTATCTATCTTCTCCCTCCTTGTCTGTTAGCTTCTTCATATTATCCTCCTTATTCTCTTCCTCCTCATCTATCTTTACCTTCTCCTTCTCCACATCTATTCTCCTTCTCATCCTCTTCCTCCTTCTCCTTATCTATCTTCTCCTTCTCATCTATTGTCTCCTTCTCATTATCCTCCTCATCTATCGATTCTCCTCATTATACTGCTCCTTCTCCTTGTCTATTGTCTCCTCATTAGCCTCCTTTTTCTCATCCTCTTTATCTATCTTCTCCTTCTCCTTCCCCTTCTCCTTGTCTATTGTCTCCTTCTCATTATCCTCCTCCTTATCTATTTTCCTCTCCCCTTCCCTTTCTTCTCCTTCTGCTCCTCCTCCTCATCTATCTTCCTATTTCCCCTTCTCCTCCTTTTCCTCCTATCTCCTTCCTGTTAGCCTTTTCCTCCTCCTTCTCAATCTTCTCAATCTTCCCCTTTTCCTCATTGATTGTCTCCTTCTCATTATCCTCTTCCTCCTTTCTCCTTATCTATCTTCTCCTTTTCCTTCTCATCCTTCTCTATCTCCTCCTCCCCTTATCTATCTTCTCCTTCTCCTTCTCCTCCTTTTCTATCTTCTCCTTCTCTATCTCCTCCTCCTCTTCCTCCTCCTCCCAGAAGGAATGCCTGCAAGCCATACATAGAATCCATCCACCCAAATATCTTTGGCCAGACAACAACTGTGAGATGAAAGGCAATGTCCCACCTCACAGGGGTATACCATAACTAAACATGGCAGTCTGTTAAGGTAATGAATATTTGATAGCTGATCAGCTGCTGTAAAGCTGCTGATGCAATGAGGATGAGTCAGCAGGGATATTGCCACTTTAAGGCTGAGGATGGGTCCGTAGGGTTATTGCCATTTTAAGAAGTTGTCTATATATAGGAGGCCATGAGAAGGTATCTCTCTCCTCATGTTCTATCTTCATTGTAGTACTCTGCAGAGTAATGAAGATTGTTTGCTTGCCAGGTATTTGCCTAATAAGTGTACGTATATATATAGTAGTCTTGTATATAAACCACTCTTAAAAGACAAAGCCTCTGTGTCCTGTGTTTTGCTCTTGAGTTGTCTCACAATAGTAGTCATGCTGCAAACAGTCTGACACGGTCAAAACTCTCAAAGCCTGGAGGAACTGGGAGATGTTCTCCACGTTTCTCCATGCCTCGCCATCCTGAACCTGACGAGAGCCGAGCAGCAGCAAGACCAACCAAAGGTCTTTACCGGTGCTTGGCGCAGGACTCACCGCAGTGGGCCTCGTCCGAGCCATCAGCGCAATCCTGTTGCCCGTCGCAGACAGAAGCCGCCTCCGCACAGCCAGAGGTCTCACAGGCAAATTGTCCTTGCATGCAAAGGACCCGAGGCATCCCAGCAGAGGGGACGAGAGTTGGCACTGCCAAAGAGAAGGGGACAACAAAGTCCTTAATAAAGCCTTCTATGGGTTCTGATGATCACAGTCTGTTGTTTTATTTTTATCATATTCTCACATTAAGGGATCACCCACTAAGACTCCGACGTCTCTCTCGCAGCGACTGCTTTTGGAGCCAGGATTTGAGCCAGAATCCCCCAATGAGATCAGAGGTAGCATTCAGCCGGTTCGGACTGGTTCTGGCATACCCATAGCGAACATTTTGACTGGTTCAGAGAACCAGTAAATACCACCTCTGACTGGCGTTACCTCTCCTATAGTCTGTGGTTTATTAGCTCAGCTTATTCGCACGGCAGAATGGATTGCCGTGCCTCAGCTGAGCTTAAAAAAACAGCACCGTTCACCATCATCGATAAAGAGTGCGGTCTCCAAGCCCCTTTCGTGTGTGCGTGAAACACTTGTTTGGTGTGCGCACACGCTTGGGCATGCCTGCACGGCTCACCAGCGTTGAGGGTGGTGTTGGAGTGCTATGCATGCGCGCGCGAAACAAGCTCTCTGAACCCGTAGGAAAAACTTTTGAAACCCACCCTTGAACGGGATGTCCCTCCCGCCCCACCGTATTACAGCTCTGCCTGCCTCACCTGACCAAGTGGGCCTCCACCCAGGGGTTTCAGGTTGGTGTGAAAGAACATGCCACGTGGACACTCTGGAAGCACTGCTTGATCCAGGAGTTGCCGGGGACCAAGGAGTGGTCCGGCGAAGGCCAGGCATTGCCGTGGACAAGACAGCCGGCATGCTGCTTTTCTGGAACTGCCGAGAAGGGGTCAGTCCTGCAGCACTGATCCGGGAAACTGCCGCCATCGCTGGTTTGGTGTAAGGGGGCAACCAGGTGGGGGTGCCAAGAGTCTTCTCCGGAGGAGATGGGGCTGTGGTGGGTCTTGTACGGATTATTCCGGTGGCTGGGCTGCTGCTGGCAGAAGTCAACCGGCCCATGGCACGCTCCGTCTCTGGGTCATGTGAGAAAGGTTGAAACAGGAGAATGAAGAGAATACCCACACATACAAAAAAGTAACCCTTAGCTAAGCTGTCCTGGCCCCCCTCCCACCCGGAGGACAGTTGGGGGGAAACCTGGTCATTAGGATGTCACATTCCCCCCACAAGCTGGACACAGGTGCCCCTGTCTGAGTCTAAATCTGAGGAGGAAGATGAACAGCTGACACAGGGAGTGGGAATGTGGCTCCGTTGGCTGCGGAGGAAACTGGGGAAGGGCAAAGTCCGGCTGGGCAGAGCAGGGAAGAGGTAGAACAAAGGAGAGGGAGTCCAGAGGAAGACCCCGGCCCACCCCCTCTTCATCCTAGGGCACGCAGGGAGGAATGGAGAAGGGAGCAACATGGAGAAAGACAAATCAGAAATGACCAGGAAGTTATAAAATGAATTAACAACCTTCTGAGAAATTAAGTCCAAAATTTATAGGGCCTTTTCAGATAATTAAAGTAATAAACCCAGTAACCATGAAACTTAATCTCCCTTAGGCTATTGGGGAAGGAACATCCGGTGTTTCATAGTAGTTTATTAAAGCTGTTTGTTGATTCTTCATTGAGGCCAGCAGAACATGTAGCTCCAAAGCCTTTGTTCATTTGTAGGGCATGAACATTATGAGGTTAAGAAAATTTTGGATTCTAGGATTTTCAGGGGGAAGTTACAATATTTAATTTATTGGAAAGGCTATCCAATTTCACAAGCGACTTGGGTAAATAGCTGGAAAGTAAATGCTGATTGATTGGTGGGGAAATTCCATGAAAAATACCCACACAATTCTAAGGCAAATTCTGTAGGTAGCAGAGGAGGTTAAAATGCGCATTGTATGATTGTGTCTAATTTCAATCTTTGTGTATTTTATGTCGTTGTAGGGGTTTCTTTTCAAAGGAGGGAGGGTAGCCTGTCAAGCCCAAAATTGACCTATGGGTAGCCATTTTAGTTAGGCTTAGTATATATTCTTTTTTCTTATGTTCTCTTTGGCAGTTATGGGGGAAGGGTTTCGGGCTTGCACATTCCTAAGCGGGGAGATCGAGAGAGTTGTTTAGGCTAGGTGGTTCTTCTTCCTGTGGGAAAACGAGCTGTCCGTGCTTAGTCCCCCTTGAGGTGGAAATTTATGACATCAAGCAACATTGCATTACTTCTATTGGAGAATGTGACTTTGTGGGGGTTGTTTCTAACTTCTAATACTGTGGGGTAATTCCGGGTTGTGTCAGATCTGGAATTACCACGGACTTTGCCAATTTGATGTTTTCCTAAATAAAAAGAAATTGTCTTGGAAGATGGACTTTGTTCTTTTCTTTTTAAATGGATTTCACCACCTGGAAACTTACATTGTGTGGCTTACGGGAGGGGAAAGGGCCCTGATTCCCTTCACACCTGGGAAGGGAGTTTAAAGGAGAGGCAGTTGCAGGCTGCATTTTCCGGGAACAAACTTTAAGTTTATCTAATGTTGGCTGCTGTTATCTGAGTTCCTGGCATCCTCCCAACTTGTTTGACTTACTGCCGTGTTGCTTCATTTCCAAAAATCCTTCGCTTTTGCCCTGCCAGATTTATTACTTTATCTTGCCATGTATGGATTGATAGTTTAAAGTTTTCTATTTTCAACCTTTGGACTGGAATATCTGCAGCCAGAGGTGGTTGCAGGTTCGTGGGAGAGTTTGTCTCCAGACCGGAGAGTAACCAGGACATTGGGGGGCAAAGTTGGAGCTAATCAAGGGATTCATACTTATTTTCTGGCTGGGTTGCCTTTTGCCATGCCCCTTTGGGTCATCGCACATCTTCCCAGGGAGCGAAATCAGCAGAGCCCATTCAGCAACATTGGAGACCCATAGATCCTGAAGGACAGCCCTGAGCTGTACACCTCCAGGTGCCCAATATCCCCTCCAGGCAGCCCCCCACAGCTTCCTCTCCCCACCCTCAACTCACTCCAGGTGCAGCCAAACACCTCCAGGCGCAAGGAAATGCTTTGGTGGTACTCCACAGGCACGAAGCGCAGGAAACGGGTAAGGAGGGTCGGGCTGAGCTCCTGCCGTCTCGGGGTGCTGCTGTCAGAATTCCCCTCCAGAAGCTGCGGGATGGAGAGGACAAAAATGGGTGGTTTGAGACTATGGAATCCCCTTGTCTTCGTGGTAAAGCAGAGAAGAGTGTCGGAGAGAAATTTGTGATGATGGAGAGAAAGGGATGGAAAAAATAGAAGAGAGTAACCCACGGAGGGAAGACACCATTGTTAGTGTTTGGGGATAAACCCCTAGCAGAGTATGCAGCAGCAGTCAAGCCAGGCAGCCAAATGAGAGAGGAAGGGTTTTAGAGTATACACACACTGAACACAAACACTGTTTGTAGTTTAAATAGTTTTTAATCCAGTTAGAGTTTAAGCATTGTCAATCAGTCCGTATGTCATTCACAATATATCCATTCAGTAAGACTCAGTAACTCAGTCCAGGTAATAGTCCTTACTATATCTTTATCAGCCGATAAAGATATCTTCTCCTCCTCCGATGCCTTTCTCCAGAGGATAACGCTGGATATTCAGTAGTACGATCAAACAGTAGACAGTCGCAGTAAAACAGTAATAAACAGTTGTATCCAGCAGTAAACAGCAGTAAACAGTAAACAGTAAAGCACTATGCAGTAGGCAGTAAGCTTTCCAGCTTTCTCCTGCTTCCTCTTATTGCAGTTTCTAACCGCACCCTTAATTGGCTAATTACATGCAGTGTGGTGCTTAAAGTTACAAACACTTAAACTATGATACCTTAGTTTATATATTTATCCATCCAAACCTTGTTGGGTATCAATGTTATACCTAACAACCATTAAACGCTATCTCCGTTTTTTGTGAAGCTCACAATCACTCCCCAGATTTGGCAACACCCACAAGGGGAGTGTAGTGGAGGAAGAAAAGGATCCGTCCTCTTTCTTCTGATCTCTCAGACTTGAAAAACCAAGAGAGACACATAGATCAAAGTATCTAAACTTCTCTGTCTCTTGTTCCTCTGGAATGCAGCCCCTCCCTCCTGGGAATCCAGACTACAATCCACCACAGGATCAGAGATTCTCGGATAGAGGAACCAGGAGGACTTGGATCCTTCCCTGGATTGGACGTGGGGAGATGCCATACCTGAGCCTTCAGAGATGTGACTGGGCTGTGTCCAGGCGTGGTATAGTTCCAAAAATGGACCCCATCGTTGCTATAAAGCAGGCGATAGCGTACGATGAATCCGCCCGAGCTGCCACCCCCCTGAGTGGCCACCGCTGTGATGAAGAAGGGCTGGAGAAGGTCCACCTGGAAGTAGGGGTTGGGGTCGGATTGAAGGGGGCTCCATCCTGGCTCTGTGTTCTGTCTGGAAAAAGAAGACACCAAAAGTCAGCTGCCGTCAAGACCACAAGCCGAACAGAAGGACCTTCTGAGCGCCGGCCTTGAGCAAGTCTTCTGGAGACCTTCCCTGAATAGAAGAACGAGCTCCCATTGTATTTTTCTCTCCTGAAAAGCCAGGTTGGAAGAGCCCAATAACTGGTCAAAGGATAAATGGATGGCGAGGGAATTCTGGGAGATGAAGTTCCACCCATTCTCAAAGGGTGCAAAGTTGAGAATCAACTGGAGATAAGAATGGATGAAGAGTTGGATGTGGATGAAGAGATGGATGGTCGGATGGATGGATGGAGAGAGAGAGAAAGAGGTGATAGAGGGGTATAGATCAGTTCTTCTCAACATGCTAGCTGAGGAATTCTGGGAATTGAAGTCCACCCGTCTTTAGGCTGCCAAGGCTGAGAAACACCTAGATGGAAAGAAGGATGGATGGAAGGATAGGGGAGAGAAAAAGAGAGAGTGGTTCTCCACACGCATGCTGGGGAATTCTGGGAGTTGAAATCCACCCATCTTCAAATGGCTAAAGTTAATAAATATCTAGGCAGATGGATGGACGGAAGGATGGACGAACGGAAGGAAGGAAGGAAGGAAGGAAGGAAGGAAGGAAGGAAGGAAGGAAGAAAGAAAGAAAGAAAGAAAAAAAGAAAAAAAGAAAAAAAGAAACAGATTAGAACTCCATGCTGGCTGGGGAATTTTGGGAGCTGAAATCCACCCAACTTCAAGTGGTCAAGGTTGAGAAACAGATGAATGGATGGATGGATAGATGGACGGACGGATGGATAGATGGATGGATGGAAGGATAGATGGAGAGTTGGATGGATGGATGGATGGATGGATGGATGGATGGATGGATGGATGGATGGATAGATGGATGGGTGGATAGTTGTATGAATGGATTGTTGGATAGATGGATGGAGAGTTGTATGGATAGATGGTTGGATGGATGGAGAGTTGGATGGATGGATGGAGTTGGATGGATAGATAGAGAGATGGATGGATGAATGGTTGGAGAGATACAGAGGTGATAGAACAGAACTCAACATACTGGCTGGGGAATTCTGGGAGTTGAAATCCACCCAACTTCAAGTGGTCAAGGTTGAGAAACAGATGGATGGATGGATGGAGAGATAGATGGTTAGTTGGATGGATGGATGGAGAGTTGTTCGAATGGACAGATGGGTGGATGGACAGGAGGAGACAGATCATCTCAACATCCTGCCTGAGGAATTCTGGGAGTTGAAGTCCATCCACCCCTCTTCCAAGGGCCAAGAGAATCTCTAGTTGGGGCACCACTTGAATTCTCCTGCTTGGAGTAGCTCCAGTCTTGCACCACTTACCCACTGGGCACCCGGTTCAGCCGTCCGGCATCTGGGGGACGTCCCTCCTGGTGGGAGGAGGCTGTCAACTGCTGGTAGGGGACACGTCCATCTTCCAGGCCGAGGGGCTCATTGCAAGAACCTGAAGGGAAGGGTGGCAAGAGGGCACAACATTAAGGGCATTCCTGAAACAGCCCGGGAGCAGAAGGTGGGGTGTCCTCAGCACAAAACTCCTCAGTGGAGTCGCAAAGGGCCTGAGTATCCTCCAAGGATACTCAGAGTTGGGGTTAGGCTGGTCCCAGAGGTTCAGCAAGGGTGACGTTAAGGCTGAAAGGAGGACTGGGGATTGGCTGGTAAAGGTTGAAAGGGTGTGTGTGTGTGTGTGTGTGTGTGTGTGTGTGTGTGTGTGTGTGGTGAATGTTCTGGACCTAGTTTCTTTCACTATCTTCCCTTCCTTCTTTTTCTTTCTCTCACTTTCTTTCTTTTCCTTCCTTCCCAAATCCTTCCTTCCCTTGAATCTTTTCCAGCCTTTCCACTCGCTCTCCTATTCTAATCTCCTTCCTTCCCATCTCCTTCCTTCTTCCCTCCCTCCCTCCTATTCCCATTTCCTCCTTTCCCTTCCTCCCTCCTATTCCCATCTCCTTCCTTCCTTCCCCATCTCATTCCTTTCATTCTTTCCCTCCATCGCTCCTATTCCCATCTCTTTCCTTCCTTCCTTCCCTCCCTCCCTCTTTCCTTCCTTCCCCATCTCATTCCTTTCATTGTTTCCCTCCCTCCCTCCTATTCCCATCTCCTCCCTCCCCCTCCCCTCCCCTCTTTTCCCCTTTCCCCTTCCTTCCTTCCTTCCTTCCTTCCTTCCTTCCTTCCTTCCTCCTTCTCTCCCTCCCTCCCTCCTTCCCTTCTCTTTTTCATATTTCTTCTTTGTATCTCTCTTTCATCTAGATAAAATAGTTTCTTGTCAAATACAGATCTCTCTCTGTCTCCCCTTACCTGGCAGAGTGGGGCTGTGGTCCTCGGGCAAGGGACGTCCACCTGGGGACACCTGCAAGGGAGGGGAAAGAGGAGATGCTACCTGGTGCTCTGGATATGCATTCACACCTGGGAAGACATGGGAGAAAGGAGGAGGGAGGCAGGACAGACATCCCAGTTCCAACTGGACAGGGAGGAATGGAAGGATTGATCCTCCTTATAGACAGCTGGTCATTTGCATTCCTTTAGAGGGTTGTTGAGGCCCCTTGGAGGTTTATCTCTGTCCTCAGGGTCCCCCGAGTGGTGTCAGTGGGTTAGTGGAGCCTTCTTCGAATGGCAGTCTGCCCAATTTGCACGGCTCAGGTGACCCTGGGGGCTCAGACCAACGCAGAGAAACCTCTGAGCGGCCTCAATGGCGCTCTGAAAAGAAGGCAAACGACCCCCTGTCCACAAGGAGGAACCATCCTTCCCTTCCCCACCGTCCAGTCAGAGCTAAAGAAGGTCCTTCTCAGAGGAGAAGCGAAACGTCTTCAAAAAAAAAGAGAAAGTCCAGTTGTTTCTTGAAAAAAAAAAAGCACAGGAAGAAGCCAGGCGGCCATGTTGGTTCTCAAGGGCCACCACAGAATCCCACCAATCCCACCAATTCACACGTTTTAGCTTCCACCACCATCCCCCAAACATCTCAGTGCAGTGGTGGGATTCAAATAATTTAACAACTGGTTCTCTGCCCTAATGACCGGCTGGCTAGGCATGGCTGGGTGGTCGTGTAACTGGGTGGGCATGGCCAACTTGATGTCACTCATGTCAAGGGGTGCCTCTCCTAGCCTGGCCTCCCAGCCTCCCCAGCTGCTTACCTGGCTGCTCACCTCACCTCCTGGCTGTTTGCTGGCTGGGAGAGGAGGGGCAGGATCAGGAGGGCCGGGCATGGTGAGGTACACTATTCAGCCAGTTCGCTGACTCCACCCAAAAAATAGCTACCGGTTCCGTTGAACTGGTGTAAACCGGCTGAATCCCACTATTGTCTTTATGGCTCTTTTTTTTTTTTTTTTTTTTGCACTTTTCCCCAAAGTTTCAATATCTCTTTTGGAAGAACTGAGGGGAGCCGAATGTCAACTCATAAAATATTTCTATGGTCTTTTCAGAGTTGCCAACAGAAAGGGAGAGGGGGAGCAGTGCGGCAGCTTGCAAAACTGAAACTGCATCCCGTAAATGTTTTCAAAGATAGTAACTAGGTGACCGAAGTTTCTGCCGTGCAAAATTCTAACTGGAGAGCATGATTGATGTCTCTTGGCTATGGTGGTGTCTCATTGGAGAATATGATTTATGACACATCCAGATGGGGGAAAACCAGAGTCAAGGGTGACAATGAATTATGTGTCTCAGAGTCAGCTCCACCCAGGCAGCACCTGCACCAGACGTATTAACTCCCAATAAATCTTTTTGAAGTTTTGGAAGTTTTGGATTGAGACTCAGGATTTAAATGGGGGTAACTGCCAGAATCCTGACAACGTGATGACCAAAACTTGATTCAGGATTCCAGGTGTGGCCTTACTAAGGCTTTACAAAGCGGTCCTTAAGACTTCACGTGATTTTGATTCTATGCCTCTGTTTCCGCGGCCGAGGATTGCATTAGCTTTTTGGGGGGGGCTGCTGCAAAGGGATTTTGGAATTCTAGTTCAGAAATAGACCTCTCTGTCCTAATCTCAACCTCTTGCTGCTTGTTCCCTCAAGTTCCTCCCTTTCATAGCCTGGTGACCCCAAAACTTGGCTTTGGTTGTCCTTCCTGACCCATAGGCACCCTGGCAGCGGGGTGTGTGTGTGTGTGTTTCTCCTTACCACAGTGGATGGGGCCTCAGAGACCTGACGATGCTTTTCTGAAGTCCACGGGCTGGAAGGAAGACCAGAAGAAGTTTGGTTAGTAGACCTTGTGAAGATCCATCAGGAGACGGAAGGGCTCTACCTGCCCTCCCATAGATGGGCAGTGTCAACTCATAAAACATTTCTATGCCTCTTTTAGAGTTGTCGTGAATGGGGGAGGAGCAGTGCAGCAGTTTAGAAACCAGAAATACATTCCATACTTTATCTTGCAAAGATTGCAACTAAGTGTCATGTCTTTGGTGGAGACGGACTCTGAGGGAGAGGAGGAACAGCCGATAGGGAGGGGGAGTGTGGCTATCCGGAGGTTGTGGAGGAGGCTGGGGAAGGACAGAGGCCGGCTGAGCAGTCAGAGGAAGACTCAGGCCCATCCCCTCCATCCTAGGGCATGCAGGGAGGAGAGGATAAGGGAGAGATGTGGTCTACTGGGGAGGAGAGGGCCTTGTCCTCTTCATGGGCTGCAGCTGTGACAACTGGATAAGAGGACAGACATGCGTATAGGCGAGCGCTGGAAATAAAGCATGGAAATATTTCTAGTTTATGGTTCCTCTCTGAGTTTGGCGTCCTTCGCAGTGTGTGTTCTGTTATCTGTTGATGTCCTCCAGCCCTTATTTTGCCTGGTTTGTGTTTTTTTTGTCTTCCTTCTTGTAACTGTTTGTGTGGGAGGTTTTTTTGTCTTCCATCAAGAAACTTCGGAGCTTGGAAGCAAAGTGAAGGAATAAAAGGGGCTTCACCGGTTTTCTGTGTTTGCTTTGTATCCCACCCTGGGTCATCACACTAAGCGACTGGAATTTCTGCCATGAAAATCCTTAATTGGAGAACGGGATTGATGACGCTCAGCTATGAATGGTGTTTCATGGAGAATATTAATTAAGATGCACCCAGAAAGCCAGGGTCATAGGTGACAGTGAATTACGTGTCTCGGAATCGGCTTCACATAGGTCATGCCGACATATTCGCTCCTAATAAACTTTTTGAAGTTTGGCTCAAGACTCATGATTTAATGCCGGAATCCCGACAGGCAGCCTAGAAATGGCTGGCTGGGGTATCTCCCACCCTGTTTTCAGTGACACCCAATTTCCTCCCCATCGTACATTTCCGATCCTGTATTCGGGGATGTTGGACCCACCCGCCAACATTCCCTTGATGCCAGCCCTCAACTCTAGACTTCTCCATGGCATCAAATGGCCTGTCAACCCCATTCTGTTCTTACCTGAGGCTGCCAGGTGGTGGCATGCTGCTCACTGCCATGCAGCCGATCTCGTCAGTGCCGTCCGGGCAGTGAGCCACTCCGTCGCACCTCTGGCTGGCTTCGAGGCAGAGGTCGGCAAAGGTACAGGGGAAATGGGGAGCTGGGCAGCCCTCTGGGGTGGGGGGCTCCAGGGAGGGGGCCACACCTGCAATGGAGGAAGCAGAACAGAAGAATTCCATTCTGTTCCACTCTTTCTATTCCATTCCTTTCTTTCCATTCCATTCGATTCTTTCTATTCTATTCCATTCCATTCTTTCCTTTCCATTCTGTTCCATTCTTTCCATTCCATCCCTTTCTTTCTACTCTATTCCGTTCCATTCTTTCCATTCCATCCCTTTCTTTCTACTCTATTCCATTCCATTCCATTCTTTCTCTTGTCATGCTGCATCTCTCCAGCGTCCGCTCACCGCAGCGCAGCTCGTCCGAAAAGTCCCCGCAGTCATCCACTCCATTGCAGATGGCTCCGTGAGCCCCGGTTGGCACGCAACGTCCGTTCCGGCATTCGAACTCGCCAGCCCAGCAAGGCTTCCATCCTGGGGGGGACGTGGGCCACCCTGGCTGCTCTGGGGACACTGAGACAAGACAAGAGAGAGCAACGGAGAGACTCAAGCCCACTGGGAAGGGCAAACCTCCATCTGGTGCAGGCAGGCCTCAACTTATTATGTTTCACTTAGCAACCATCGGATGTCAGAACAACAACAAGAAAAAAGCAACTTCAGACCCTGGCGATCCAAATTCAGAGGTTTGGTGACCGACTCAAATATACGACAATTGTAAAACCCTCTTTTCCAACCACTGGAAAGCCAGATTTGCTTCACGAGCTGGGGACTAACTGAACAACCACGGGTGTTAGGAATATAAGTCACCTAACAGTTATTTGGGTTGGAAATATATAAATCAGGACATTTTAAAACTGTATCTTTAAGAAAATGCAAAACTGTAATTGGGTGTGGTTTCTCAAATGGCCATAAGATGGAGCCAGAAACCTGGGTTGTCTCAGTGTCTCAGTGAGTCTCTGTTTCCTTCTGTTGGAGAGAGTTGCCGTTCCTCCTAATGACTGTTACTGATCGTTGATGTAAGTCTGTTACTGCAGTGATCCCCAACCTTTTTTATGCCGCGGCCCGGTACCGGCATCAGCTGGGTGCCGCGGCCCGGTACCGGCATCAGCTGGGCGCCGCCATCTTTTTTTGATGAAAAAGTGCTTCCGGTGAGCTTTCTACCCGGAAAAGCTCACTGGAAGCACTTTTTCATCAAAAAAAGATGGCGGCGCCCAGCAAACCAGCGGCCCAGTAGGACTTGTTCCACGGACTAGTACCGGTCCGCGGACCGGTGGTTGGGGACCCGTGTTACTGAACTGTTTTTTGATACTGGACTTTGATATTTGGATTATCCCTGGACTGAAAACTGACTGCTATACCTGTGAAAGACTTGGACTGCTTATCTTGGACTGTGCCTAAATCTTTATTGGAAGTAAAAAACCTACATTTACTGTAAGTGTATCTGTGTGCTGTCTGTGTGTTATTCTTCCCTACTGTCACTACGTCTCCCTGTGTGCGCTCATTCTCCTAACGGGGAATTACCTCAACACTGGTTATGGGCCAGGCACAGATAATTGAGAGTTAGTGTGAATACACAGTACTGTATACAGACAGCTGTTTACTGATTAATTGTGGGTTACTATCCTAGTAAAGATGGCACAAGACACTTCAACAAGTCTATCACTGATAACCCGGTTGGATGGAACAAACTATGTTTCCTGGTCTATGAAGTGCAGTCTACTTCTGTGTAGAGAAGGTTTATGGAATGTAGTTCAAGGTCCACCGGATGTAAATGCTTGGGATCCAGAAAATGAGGACGATGCCAAGAAGCTTGCTGACTTTGAACAGAACAACGAACGAGCTCTTTGTATAATTGGACTAACACTGAGTGACCAGCAGCTAGTCCATATTCATGGAGAAGAGTCTGCTGCTAGGTGTTGGGAGAATTTGAAGAGGATTTATGTTCGTGACACTGTAGGTGCACACATACATCTTACACGTAAACTGTTTAGAGCACGTCTTCTGAAAGGTGGAGATATGTTAGCTCATTTGAACTTCATGAAAAGAACTTTTCAAGAGCTACATGAAAAGGAACTGATATTTTCAGAGGTGCATCAAGTTTACATCATTCTTTCCTCAAAGTTATGATGATTACGTATCTTCACTGGAAGTCCTGCCCAGAGATGAACTGACATTAACTGACATAACCAGAAGGTTGTTAGAAGAAGCAAGACAGCTGGATAGGGACCAATTGAAGAAGGAACAACCACAAGAAGAGAATTTGTCTTCAACTGCCTATACTGTTAGGAAATGTTTTTCTTGTGGGGCTAGAGGACATATAGCTAAATTCTGTAAGAAGGGAAAACAACAGAATACTGGCAAACACCAGAAGGCCAAAAAGAATGTTAGTTTAGCTATGTCTAGCAATTCAACTGTAAACCATGATTTGTGGGTTGTTGATAGTGGAGCATCACAATGCATTACTAAAGATAGAGAAAGGTTTGTAAAGATGTCCATGAGTAAACAACATGTATCATTGGCAAATGGATGGAAGATGAAAGCATCTGGTAAAGGTACTGTATATTGTTCTTGTATAAATGAATATTTAACTATGTTATATAATATATAATGTTATGTATCTAAACTAAAATTTAATTTGCTATCAGTAAGGGCTTTAGTTAATCTTGGTTATGTAGTAACCTTTAGGGGAGATAATTGTATAATAGAGTAAGAGGGTAAAAGTGTTACTGCTACTTTAGAGAATGATTTATATGTGATACATGATGACCAGTTGAAGATGGCTAACTCGGTTTATAACAATGTTAAGCCACATGATGAATGTATACATTTACTGCATAGATGTCTAGGGCACATTAATTTCAAAATGCTCAAACAAACTGTTGAATTGTCAGAGGGAGTAAAATTGAAACCCTTTAGCAAGTATTTAAACTGTAATGCTTGTAGTCAAGAGAAAAGTAAGGTTACTCCTGCAAACAGACTTAATGGGTTTAAGACCAAAGAACCTTGAGAGGTTGTGTTTGCTGACATAATTGGTCCTAAGAAACCTAGTTTGGGAGGTGCCTGCTATATTTTGAGTATTATGGACCATTACTCACGATATGGTTTCTGCTATCTTATGAAAAACAAAACAGAAACATTCCAACATTTCTTTAACTGACTAAGGTTTGCTGAGAGAAAAATGAAAAGTAAAGTAATTACTTTAGTTACTGATAATGGGACTGAGTTTGTTAACAAAAGATTCCAAACTATGTTAAAATTGGCTGGTGTTGAACATAAACGTTCTGCACATTACAGACCACAACATAACTCGTTTGTAGAACGAAGAGGGAAAACATTACAAGCCATGGCTCACGCTATGTTATTTGATTCAGGTTTGCCTGAAACACTGTGGGGTGAAGTCATAATGTGTAGCAGCCGTGTGTTAAACATTGTAGTTAACACAACAACTGGTGAATTGCCATTCACTTGTTGGCATGGCAGAAAACCAAATTTAAGTTACCTACACACATTTGGAGCATCAGTATGGGTGCATATTCCCTCACAAATAAGAATGAAAGGGCAACATAGAGCTAAGAAATTATTTTTTGTGGGTTATGAGGCCAACCATAGATCATTTAGATTTTGGGATCAAGGCACCGCTCATGTTTATTGTTGCACTAGTGCAAAATTTCTTGAGTACCTTGGGTGGGATAAACTGGAACAGGAATCAAGCAATGATATCATTATTGACACCCAAATAGTCCCTAAAGATAAAATAAGTAAACCACAAATAGCCATTAAAGAGGAAGAACAGGAGGAAGTAGGAGAACAGGCACAGGAAGAGATAGAAGAACAGGAACAGGTGGAACAGGTGAGTCCACCAGTAAGCCCTGTATTACCTAGACGTTCAACCCGAGTAACACGACCACCTGATAGATATCAGGCTAGTGTTGTATGCCAACTGAATAAAGTTCCAAGTAATTATAATGAACTAAAACTATATCCTGCTAAGGATCAGGCTGCTTGGCAGGAAGCAATGGATAAGGAACTGAAATCCTTAAAAAGACTGGATGTATACGAAAACGTTAAGTTACCACCAGGTAAACATGCCATAGGATGTAAATGGATGCATAAGCTTAAGAGGTGTGGAGCATATCTGTGTGCTGTGTGCATGTTATTCTTCACTACTCTCACTACGTCTCCCTGTATGCGCTCATTCTCCTAACGGGGAATTACCTCAACAAGAGGGATTCACTTAACAACGGGGGCCCCTGAAAGGTCACCCAATGAGGCCCAATGCCAACTCGTAAAGCATTCCTAGGCCTGTTTTAGAGTTGCCATGAACTAGAGCGGTGGGTGGGAAGGAAGATTGAAGGAGAAGGGCAGCAGTTTAACACGAGAAGTACATCGCAACACTTATCTTAGAAACAATCTAACCTAGGCTAACTTCTGCCTGTGAAAATCCTAATTGGAGAATGTGATTGTCTTGTGGTTCGCCAGCAGCAGGTGCAGATGGCTGAGGTCTCGGAGAGTGAGGACTCCGATGAGGGGCCTGTGTGTGATGCAGGGATGGGGCCAGGACCATCAGGAAGTGGGGTGCTGCCTTCAGAGATTGTGGAGGCTGGCAGCAGTGAGGAAGAGGCCCCCAAGGAGCCTGTGCCCAGTGCACATGTGCACAGGGCTGCTCGAAGGAAAGAGCAGCTGCAGTAGCACAAGTGACTCGGGAGTAAGGCTGCAAGGTGATGGCCCCTCCCTTAAGGGATAAAAGCCAGCTGAGAAACCGGAGTTCTTTGCAGGAAGCAAAGAAGCTTTTGCACTCAAGCCTTGTGGATGTTCGGACCCTCTTAGTTTGTGTTTGGAGACTCTTTGTGTTGGAATTATTGCTTAGTAACTTTATCTGGTGTTCTTGGCAGCCTTGCAAAAGCTTGGCAAGGCTTGATCTTATCAGAGACAATTAGTCTGAAACAGCCTTTTAACCGGGAAGGAATGAAATTCATAAAGAATCATTAAAAGGTTTTGCTGTTACCTCTGTCTGGTGTTTGTTTCCTTGGAACAAGGTTTGGGTCAGAACAGATTGATGACACCCAGCTCCGTGAACGTGCTTTGTTGGAGAATCTGATTTATGACACACCCAGGAGGAAAGGGAGGAAACAAGGTCACAGGTGACTGTCAATTACGTAGGCCAGAGTCGGATTCATACAGGTAATACTGGACATGTTGCTCTTAATAAATCTTTTGCTTTCTTTGGAAGTTTGGCTCAAGGCTCAAGGCTTAATTAGGGCAATAGACAGAATCCTGACACCCAACACATTTGACCAACGTGTGTCACTTTGCGATGCCAAATTCAGGTTCCGCGGCAGTCGTATGCTGAGGATTCCCTGTCGCGGGGTTGCTCAGCCTCAGCTGGGGGATGCTGTTCTGACCCAAACCTTGTTCCAAGTAAACAAACACCAAACAGAGATAAAAACAAAACCTTTTAATGCTTCTCTGCCAATTCCGTTCCTTCCCAGTTAAAAGGCTGTTTCAAAATAATTGTCTCTGATAAGAACAAGCCTTGCCAAGGTGGTGCAAGGCTGCCAAGAACACTAGATAAAGCTACTAAGATGTACTTCCAACACAAAGAGTCTCGAAACACCAATCAAGAACTATCAAACTTCCACAAGGCTTGAAGTGCAAGAACTTCCTTGCTTCCTGCAAAGAATACCGGTCTCTCAGGCTGGCTTTTATCCCTTAAGGGAGGGGCCATTACCTTGCAGCCTTACTCCCGAGTCGCCCATGCTGCTGCAGCTGCTCTTTCCTTCGAGCAGCCCTGCTTGTACGCGTGCTGGGCACGGGCTCCTCGGGGGCTTCTTCCTCCCTGCTGCCAGCCTCCACAATCTCCCAATGGATTTTGTCCCCTTCCTGTGTTGTGTGAACCAGCTATAAGGTCCCCTTCCAATGTTGGTCTGTGGAGTCTACAATTTGTGTCCTGTCAGCACCCTTTCCTTCCTCCTTAGCCCACCCAGAAACCCACCTTTCCCGCAACCCAACAACTCCAGACGCAGGAAGATGCCATTGTGGAAGTCGTGGGGCAGGAGACGCACGTGTCGGGCATGCACCATGCGCTGGAAGGTCCGGGCCACGGGGGTCGAGTCGTCAGAGTTGCCTTGGAAGAGCTGGGGAGGAAAAGACAAGAGACACGGAGTTTTTGGCGGAGTGTTAAGGCACCCAGCTAGAAACTGGGAGACAGGGAGTTCTAGTCCTGCTTTATGCATGAACGCCAGCTGGGTGACTTTGCACCAATCAGCGAGTAAAAGTGAGTTCTAGTTCCACCTTAGGCATAAAAACCAACTGAGTGACTTTGGGCCAGTCACCAGGAGACGGGGAGTTCTAGCCCCACCTTACACATGAAAGCCAGGTGGGTGACTTTGGCCCAATCACCAGGAGACGGGGAGTTCTAGTCCCACCTTAGCAGAGGGTTGGACTAGAAGTCCTGGGAGGTCTCTTCCGACTCTCTTATTCTGTGATTCTGTAAGGGCCTGCTGTTCGATGTGGGTTGGGTTGGACTAAATGACCTCCAAGGTCCCCTCCAACTCTGTTATTCTATGATTGTGTGTCTTCTGCTCGAGCAGGGGGTTGGACTAGAAGACCTCCGAGGTCCCTCCCAACTCTGTCATTCTACTTTGTCTCTTGTCCCCAGCTTGCCCTGAACTCCGCAGGTTGCCCTCGATCAAATTGTCCCATCTCGGGTCTGTCGGGAAGCCGTCGCCTGGGGGCTTCCTGAGACGGAGGAGGTGCAATCCCAGTCCACTCCTCCAAGGAGGTTTACAGGCCAGGGTGGGACTCAAAGATCCCAACAACTGGTTCCTCTACCTGGTGGCTGGGTGGGCGTGGCCAGGGTGGGCATGGCCTACCTGAAAACTTCCAGGAGGGCCATTTTTCGCCTTCCCCAGAGTCCGGAGGCTTCCCTCAGGTCTCTGGGAGGGAGAAAATGGCATCCCCTGGACTCCTGAGGTCCTCCAGAAGGCAGAAACAGACCTGTTTCCAGACTTCCAGTACTTCCGGAGGGCTGTTTTTTGCCTTCCCCAGAGTCCAGAGGCTTCCCACGGGCCTCTGGGAGGGAGAAAACAGCCTCCCCCAGGCTCCTGAGGCCTCCCAGGAAACAGGCCTCTTTACAGACTTCTGGTACTTCCGGGAGAGCTGTTTTTGGCCTCCCCAGAGTCTGGAGGCTTTCCTCGGGTCTCTGGGAGGGAGAAAATGGCCTCTCCCAGGCTCCAGACCTGTTTCCAGACTTCCGGTATGGCTGTTTTTCTTCCTCTTGGAGCCTCCATGCAGACTCTGCACTTACCTGTATCCAAAATGTGCCATGTGGGTCATGGAGACTCCTGGGAGGGGTGGGGAGAGGTGGGTGGGGACAGCTGGTCAGTTCAACTACCAGTTCAGCAAACCAGATGTAAATTTAACATCTGGTTCGCCCAAACTGGCCCGAACCAGCTGAATCCCACTCCTGCTTACAGGCCAAGCCTTGGACCTTGGACTTGGCACCCACTTCCAGCAGGAGCTCTCTCCTCACCTTCGGTTCAGGCCTGGCACTCCTGGAGACCTCTTGGTAGTCGTGCCATCTCACACCATCCAGGCTGAACCGGAGGAAGAAGCTAGTCACGTAGGCGTCGGAGGTCCCTGCTCCTTGGATCACGACTCCTGGGGAAGATGGAGGGAAATCGATGAATGTCCAGGAAATTCCAGATGCTTGGATGCCTGCAATGGCAGAGGCATCCGGCAAGCATGATGGGGAACCTCAAGATAGAGGATTTCTGCAACACACACACACACACAGAGGAAGGGAGGGACAGGGAGAGGGGGGGGAGAGGGAGAAGGAGAGAGAGAGGAAGAGAGAGAAGGAGAGAGGGGGAGGGGGAGACTGGGGAGGGGAGAGGGAGACAGGGAAAGAGAAAAGGAGAGAGGGGAGGGGGAGACAGGGAGAGAGGGGGGAGAGAAAGAGAAGGGAGGGAGAGGGAGAAAGAGGGAGAGAGAAGAGAGGGGAGAGGGGGAAAGGGGATGAGAGGGAGAGAGAAGGAGAGAGGGGAAGAGGGAGGGAGAGAGAGGGAGAGAGAGAAAGAGAAAGAGAGAAGGAGACCTATTTCCTATTTTACTTCGGTTTCAACCAAAAACTCTTCGTGGAGCTTCAAGGGAAGTCTGCAACTGGCGATGAGGTAAAAAAAGAACTGGCCACAGGAAGATGCCCCATTCCGTCTAGACCCGGCACTTACCTGTCAGGTTCCTGGGCTCCCTCAAATCCACTTGGAGGAAGGGAGGCCGAGAGAGCAGCTCCGGATAAACCTCTGCCGGAGGGGCCCAACCCTGCAAGTCGGCCCCGGGCAACAGGAGTCCCAGCCGAGCGGCATGGGCCGGGTTCTCCGGCTGTTGGGCGGAAGCGGTGAAGCTGGCGTCTGGAAGGGAGGCGATGCCCAGGGGGCCATAGCAGAGATCTGTGCAGGCGGAAGACAGTCGAGGGGGCAGGAATATGGTCAGACCAGAACCATGTGTGGCACAGGGTTTCCCACACAAAGGGCAACATGGGACGTGGCCTTCCTTACCGCCGAACGGAGGCAGGGGGTATGTGCTGAGTGGAGGACCTGTGGGGTAGAGTGGGGAGCTGGCTCGGGTGGTCCCCAGGGGTCCCAGAGGCAGAGTGCTGGGGGCGGCGGTCCGGTTCTCCCCTGAAACACAGCACAGAGGCATTCGACAGGGTAGAATGGAATGGAATGGAATGGAATAGGAATGGAATAGAATAGAATAGAATAGAATAGAATAGAATAGAATAGAATAGAATAGAATAGAATAGAATAGAATAGAATAGGAATTCAGAATAGAATAGAATAGGAATTTAGAATAGAATAGGAATTCAGAATAGAATAAAATAGGAATTTAGAATAGAATAGGAATTCAGAATAGAATAGAATAGAATAGAATAGAATAGAATAGAATAGGAATTCAGAATAGAATAGAATAGAATAGGAATTCAGAATAGAATAGGAATTCAGAATAGAATAGAATAGGAATTTAGAATAGAATAGGAATTCAGAATAGAATAAAATAGGAATTTAGAATAGAATAGGAATTCAGAATAGAATAGAATAGAATAGAATAGAATAGAATAGAATAGGAATTCAGAATAGAATAGAATAGAATAGGAATTCAGAATAGAATAGAATAGAATAGAATAGAACAGAATAGGAATTTGGAATAGAATAGGAATTCAGAATAGAATAGGAATTTAGAATAGAATAGGAATTCAGAATAGAATAGGAATTCAGAATAGAATAGAATAGGAATTTAGAATAGAATAGGAATTCAGAATAGAATAGAATAGAATAGAATAGAATAGAATAGAATAGAATAGGAATTCAGAATAGAATAGGAATTCAGAACAGAATAGAATAGAATAGGAATTTAGAATAGAATAGGAATTCAGAATAGAATAGAATAGAATAGAATAGAATAGAATAGAATAGAATAGAATAGAATAGAATAGGAATTCAGAATAGAATAGAATAGGAATTCAGAATAGAATAGAATAGAATAGGAATTCAGAATAGAATAGAATAGAATAGAATAGAATAGAATAGAATAGAATAGAATAGAATAGGAATTCAGAATAGAATAGAATAAGAATTTAGAATAGAATAGGAATTCAGAATAGAATAGAATAGGAATTCAGAATAGAATAAGAATTTAGAATAGAATAGGAATTCAGAATAGAATAGAATAGGAATAAAATATAATAGGAATTCAGAATGGAATAGAATAGGAATAGAATAGAATAGGAATAGAATAGGAATTCAGAATAGGAATAGAATAGAATAGGAATTCAGAATAGAAAAGAATAGGAATTCAGAATAGAATAGAATAGAATAGAATAGAATAGAATAGAATAGAATAGAATAGAATAGAAGATAGGATAATATAGGAATACAATAGGAATTCAGAATAGAATAGAATAGGAATTTAGAATAGAATAGAATAGGAATAGAATAGAACAGAATAGGAATTTAGAATAGAATAGGAATTCAGAATAGAATAGAATAGGAATTTAGAATAGATTAGAATAGGAATAGAATAGAATAGAATAGAATAGAATAGAATAGAATAGAATAGGAATTTAGAATAGAATAGGAATTCAGAATAGAATAGAATAGAATAGGAATTCAGAATATAATAGGAATTCAGAATAGAATAGAATAGAATAGAATAGGAGTTCAGAATAGAATAGAATAGGAATAGAATAGAACAGAATAGGATAGAAAATGAATAGCATAGCATAGCATAGAACAGAATAGTTGGCAACTCTAAAAAGACCATAGAAATATTTTATGAGTTGATACCACCAACTTCCCACCAACTCCAGACCCAGGTTCAGGTGGACCGATATTTGGGATGTTGTGTGAACACAGCTACTAGTAGTGAAGCAGGCTTTCAGAGGGGTGAGCTACTTCAACTCCCAGAATTCCCCAGCCGGCATGCTTTAAGAGGAGTGGACTTCAACTCCCAGAATGCCCCCACCCAGTATGCTTTAAGAGGGATGGATTTCCATTCCCAGCACACCAGGGGGACTTCTGGGAGTTGAAGTCCAAACATCATTAAAGCTAGTGAGATTGAGCAACGTTGTGTATTTCTACACAAATGTGACTCCCCACAGTGGCAACAATATACACAACATGTGCGATTGCTGCCCCACATCCTCCCTGCCCCCTTTAAGGACTTACCCCCTTCCGCGCAGTAACAGCAGGCGTCTGCTCGGCCCTTCACCAGCACCCGGCCCTGCCAGATGGAAGGAGGAGGTTCAGCCGAAGGATTGGATCCCTCGGGAGATTGAAGAAGAACCGAAGGGGGGCAGGCTTACCTCGGGGCAGCCCACTGCGCTGTAGGGACAGTACTGGGAGCACTGGACGGTGAGATTCGGCAAACACTGGCAGACTTGGCACTGGCCAGAACGCCAGCGGTCGCCGATGGCGTGAGTCCGGCCATGGTGCTCGCACTCTTCACACGGCTCCGTCTGGCATCTGCAACGGACGTGGAGGAGACACCTTTTGACCCACACGAGGTAGCCAAGAGGGGCAGAGTGGAAGGCATGTACCCAGAGGTGGGATTCAGCAGTTCAAGCTAGTTCAGGTGAACCGGATGTTAAATTTATATCTGGTTCGCTGAACCGGTAGTTGAACCGACTGGCTGGCCCCTCCCACACTGCCGCTTCCTTCCCAGGAGTCTCCACGCAGCCTGTTTTGGATGCAGGTAAGTGCAGGGACCATGCGGAAAACGGCAAAAAATGGCTCTCCCACCCAGAAATTCCAGAAGTCCGTGGTGTTTTTGAATGCTACTAGTTTATTGCGCCCAACACTGATACTCCTTTGTTTGGTCTTCTGTGTGGGATTGTGGGGGGGGGTTTGTCGGCTCACCTCCGGGCCTTGCGGTAAATGCCCCGGCACTGCCGCCCATTGCCATGCTTGATGGGGTTGTTGGGGCTCCGGAAGGACCACTGGATGCTCTGCACCCCACAGGGACCCAGACATTCACCCCACGGTGACCACGCCGACCAACCGCAGTTGACTGCAGAGCAAGAGTGAATAAATTTGGCATGGGGACCAAAGAGGAAGGGAAGGCGCCGCCCCAGGAATAAAAGCGGGAGGGAGCCCAACACGAAACTGACCGGTGCACTCCGGGTTCTGCCGGCAACGTTTCATCTGTCCTTCCTGGCAAGTGCAGATCCGGCAGTTGACTTTGACCAACTGGCCAGGCCAGTAGCGGACACCGGCCACTTGGCATGGGCACTCTCGTGGACGCACGCACTGCTGCTCGCTGTTCAAGACCAGGCCTTCTGGGCACCAGCATCCTTGCAGAGGAGAGAATAAGGGGATAACCGTAACAGCAGAGTAACAGACTAGCAGAACGACAGGAGAGTAGAATGACAGAATAGCACTGAATAACTGAGTCACAAAATGGCAGAACAGAATAGCAGAATGACAGAATAATGAGATGGCAGAATTGGGAGTGGGATTCTGCCGGTTCGGACCGGTTTGGGTGAACTGGTAGTTCTGGCAATTAAATGATCCCGCCCACCCAACCCTGCCCTAGCGTGTCTTATATTTCTGTGTTTTGCAGTTCAGCTGATTCATGGCTGTGCCTCCGCTGTTTTATTCAATGGGGCTGCAGCAGAAGGTAACTTTTAGAGCTGAAAATGAGTACCGAACTGGTTGTTACACTGGCTGAATCCCATCACCAGGCAGAATAGCAGAATGTCAGAATGACAGAATAGGAGAATGTCAACAAAGCAGAACACAATAACACAATGACAAAATGACAGAATAACAGAACAGCAGAATAGCAGACTAACGGGATGACAGAATAACAATAGCAGAGCAACAGAAGCACAGAATTGCAGAACAACAGAACAGCAGAATGTCAGACTAATGGGATGGCAGAATAACAAAATAGTAGAACAATAGAACATAGCAGAATGTCCGAATAGCAGAACAGAATAACAAAATGACAGAATGGCAGAACAGAACAGCAGAATAATAGAATAACGGGATGGCAGAATATCAATAGCAGATCAACAGAACCACAGAATTACAGAATGACAAAATAGCAGAACAGAATAGCAGAAAGTCAGGAGAGCAAAACAGAATAACAGAATGTCAGCAAAATGACAGAATAGCAGAACAGAACAGCAGAATGTCAGACGGATGGCAGAACAACAAAATAGCAGAACAATAGAATAATAGAATTGCAGAATGACAGAATAGCAGAATGTCTAGCCCCGTTTCATCACTTCTGGTATTGTTGGGAAAACAGGAAGTGATGAAACGGGGCTAGTTTTCGGCCTGCAAAGCCTGCAGAAGCCTTCCTCAAGACTCTGGGAGGCTGAAAAAGGCCTCAACATGGCCTAAAATCAGCTGTGAGGTGCGCGCTTGCACAGTGAGGTAAGTTTGCCTGCAGCTCACGTGGCAGCACAAATGGCTCTGCGTGCCATGTGTGGCACACGTGCCATAGGTTTGCCATCATGGGACTAACCGATCGATAGAATCAGGGATGGGCTGCTACCGATTCGCACTGGTTCCAGCGAATGGGTACAAACGACTATGAGTTGGCCCCACCCACCCACCCCTGCTCAATCCTCTCTCACATTTCCTTCGTTTACAGCTTAGCTGATTCACGCAGCAAAGTGGATTGCTGCACCTCGGCTGTTCTACTTACCGGGAGAAGGTTCGAAGGTGAGCCAGAGAGGTTCAAAAGGGGCGTTTATTGAATGCTGCAATGCGCAATGCACGCACTCACAAAGCCGGTTGCTCAACCGGTTGCAGCGCACCACTGGATAGAATTATGGAACAGCAGAATGAACAGAATAACAGAGAGTTGGAAGAGACTCTGGAGGTCTTCCAGTCCAGGGGTCACCAACCTTTTGGACCTCAGGGACCACCAAACTCATAATTTTAAAGCCTGGGGGCCACTAATATGAATTTTGACTGAGGGTGGCTTGCTGACGTTGGTGGGAGGGAGGGAGGGAGGGAGGGGGAGAGAGAGAGAGAGAGAGAGAGAGAGAGAGGGAGGGAGAGAGAGAGAGAGAGAGAGAGAGAGAGAGAGAGAGAGAGAGAGAGAGAGAGAGAGAGAGATCCGATCTAACCCCCCTCTCTTTCTCTCACACACACAAACACACAGAGGCACAGGTGGGATTCAAATTTCTTAACAACCGGTTCTGTGGGTGTGGCCTAATTTGTGGGTGTGGCTTGGTGGTCATGCGACTGGCTGGTCATGGCTTGTATGTCAATATTATAAATATTTATGTCAATATTGAACTTTTTATCTAAAAAAGAGCAACTTTTACCCAAAATCAGGCAAAGCAGGCAGGCAGATTGAGTTGTTCACAGAATCAAAGATTCCCTCAGAGATCTGTGTTTCTGCCATTGGCTGCCTGAGTCTGCACTGAATAATAGAACCTTCAGTCCTAAGGAAGGTTCGGCTCTGCTTAGAGCCAAAGATTTAAAGACTAGCTAGAAAGCAAGAAATCCAACCATTTCCTGCTTCCTAGCTAATCTAAATCTCCCGGCACAGCAGAACCGATGATGGTCAGAAAAATAGCAACTTAGCAGGCAAGTTTGCTGGGTAAGGAGTGAGTGGGCAGGGAGGGTTCCTGTGGGCCATGTGGGCGGTGCAGCCTTGTGTTCCCGCACAGCCTGGATTAATTGCTTTGGGGGAGTGCTCTGGGGGTGACATTTCTCTGTGGACCACCAAAATTTTCTTGCGGACCACCAGTGGGCTGTGGCCCACCGGTTGGCGACCAATGTTCTAGTCCAACTCCCTTGATCAAGCGGGACAAATGGGTATAATCTATCCAGACTTTTAGCAGATTCTCCGGACGCATGAGTCTAGCACGCCACTGACGGACACCAAAAACGTATACCGACCAAGTACCCAGACATTCAGCTACCCACTTACCTGGTCGGCAAGGCCTGTCCTTCCGGCATCTTGTACGGCTGGAGAGCTCAGTGCAGGAGGTGGGACACGGGGCACACTTCTGGCTCACCAACTCCCCCGGGCAAGTGGAGGCATTGAGACAGTCCTCGCGTTGACACAACTCTGCCAAGAGAGGAAGCGGGCCAATATTTAAATCAAATCAGAATCAATCGATCAATCAGAAGACAGCTGGAAGGGACCTTGGAGGTCTTCTAGTCCAGCCCCCTTGCTCAAGCAGGAGAACCTCTATCATTTGAGACAAGGGACGGTCCGGTCTCTTCTTAAAAACCTCCAGTGATGGAGCACCCACAATGTCTGGGTGGCAAGCGGTTCCAGAGGTTAATTGTTCTCACTGTTGGGAGGGTGGGAGGGAGGGAGAAAGGGAGGAAAAAAGAAGGAAGGAAAAGATGGAGGAAGGAAGGGGGAAAGAATGGAATGAAGGAAAAAGGAAGGAAGGAGGAAGGAAGAAAAGAAGGAACGAAGGAAGAGAGGGAGGGAGAAAGGAAGGAAGGAAGGAAAAGATGGAGGGAGGGAGGGGGAAGATGGAACGAAGGAAAGAAGGAAAGAAGGGAGGGAGGGAAGGAGGAAGGGAAGGAGGGAGGAAAGAAGGAACAAAAGAATGGAAGGGAGGGAGAGGGACGTGGGAAAGGATGGAAGGAAGGAAGAGAGGGAGGGAGAGTAAGATGGAGGGACGTTCTGGCAGCAAGCTGTTCAGTCAGTTAGTTGTCCTAGTTGTGTTTCTTTGTGTTAATCAGAATAACAGAGTTGGAAGGGACCTTGTAGAACATCTAGTCCAACCCCCTCCACCCAAGCAGGAGACCCTACACCTATTTCTAACAGATGGCCATCCAGACTCTTCTCGAAGGCTTCCAGGGAGGGAGCTCCCACAACTTCCGAAGGCAAAAAGCAGACACAAATGGTCCTATTTTGTGTTCATTGTCACAGTTTGTGTCGGGCAGAGCCCAGCCTCAGCATGGAGGCGTGTCCTGTCATTCTGCAGGACGACCAATACAGTTAGTCCTCGAGTTACGACCCCCAATTGAGGCCCAACTTTCTGTTGCTTAAGTGTTATTGAATTGAGGAGGATGAAAACTAGCATGCAGGGGCAGAGGGGGCTTTTCACCCGAGCCACGACAATCAGGACCTTGAGGGTCTCATGGTTCAGCTTGGGCAGGTGGGGTTGGACTAGATGACCTACAAGGTCCCTTCCAACTCTGATGATCTGTTATCTGTTATGTCTGTGATGGCTCGTTTTCATTCCCAGCCGGAATTAAGCTCAAACAGTTTCCCGAGATAAGCACCCACCTTTCAGTTCTGCGAAGTGCTGCCAAAAGCAGAAGTATCAAATGAACTAGAAAAGAAACCAACTGAAGTACAGACAGCTTCAAGGATGATTCGGAACCAATCGAACTACTTTGCTTCCCGCAAAGGTTTTGTCATCTTGGCCTGACTTTTATCCCTGAGAGGAGGGGCAATCACCTCCCAGCCTTTTGTCTCAGCTGCTCTCGCCTTCTGGCAGCTCTGTGCACACACGCACACTGGGAACAGGCTCCCCTGGGTCCTCTGCCTCGCTGCTGCCAGACTCCAAAGGCTCCGGAGGCAGCACCCCACTCCCAGGTGGTCCTGGCCCCATCTCTGTATCGGACGTAGGAGCCTCATCCGAGTCCTCCTCAGACTACTGGACTGGTCCCCGTTCTTCCCTGCTGTCCGATTGACTGCTGCCCTCTGTGCCATCTGCCAGCGAACTCCAATACTTAAGTGAGACATTAGTTGAGGGAGTTTTGCCCCCCATTTTATGACCTGTCTTGCCAGGTCATAAATCGTTTCACAAATCACTGCAATTGATTGTACAGAAGTGAATCTGGCTCCCCCCCCATTGACTTTACTTCTCATGAGGTCACAAAAGGGGATCACACTGCCACCGTCATAAACAGGAGTTGCCAAACTCTGGATTTTGATCGTGTGACCCCAAGAGGTGGGAAAACCGGGTGTAAAGCCCTCTCCCCCCCCCCCGGCGTCATCGCATCTTTGGATACTGAACAAAGAGTTGTTACATCGAAGACTGGCTGTTAGTGACTGCCCCATCCCACTTTCCTGTCGCTTATTCGCCTATAATCTCCGACCAACTTACGGATCTCTATCGAACCAGCGGGTCCGTCCGGCCCTTCAGTACAGTGGCGGCCACCATTCTGGGATGGGAGGCATTCGCGGTGACGGACCACCACTCCACGGCAGTCCTCGGTGCAGTTGGACCATGTAGCCCATTCGCGCCACTGGCCGTCCACTTTTTGGGAGAGAGAGAGAGAGAGAGAATGAGGCGCTACCTAGGTCCCTGAGAATGAAGTATCTCCTACATCCATGATGGCGAACCTATGGCACGCAGAGCCATTTGTACTGGCACGTGAGCTGCAGGCAAAGTTACCTCACTGTGCATGTGCACGCCTCACAGCTGATTTTCGGCTGGTTTGAGGCCTTTTTTGGCCTCCCAGAGGCTTGAGGAAGGCTTCTGCAGGCTTCTGCAGGCTTTGCGGGCCGAAAACTAGGCCCGTTTCATCACTTCCTGTTTTTCTGACAATACCGGAAGTGACAAAACGGGGCTAGTTTTCAGCTTGAAAAGCCTGCAGAAGCCTTCCTTGAGCCTCTGGGAGGCTGAAAAAGGCCTCAAACTGGCTGAAAATCAGCTGTGAGGTGCAGTGCAGGTAAGGGGGTGGGGGGTGGGGGGATTGCGCGTGCATAGATAGGGGGCATGGGGGGGGCACGCATTGCCTTCTGGGTGCTGGCACATGAGTGCAAGCATGCAAGTGTGCACACAATTTTTGGCACAGGAGCCCAAAAAGGTTAGCCACCACTGTCCTACATCGAACGTGCCAGGAGCTACTATTCTTTTTTCTTTTTTAAAAAATGCACTTTATTAGTCTTTTGTATATTTTAAAAATAAATAAATAAATATGATGACGTTAACAGTTTTGCGATATCCATCTCATCCATTTCTATCCTTTGTGCATATTTACAAATATACACAATTTTGTGCGAATATATACATTTAATCTATAAGTTGCTTGTCTTTAATTCCTTCATTTTTTGTCTGTCTTAATTCGATCCAATTATACAATTTTCCCTAAATTCTGTAGTATTCAGACTGTTCTTTCTCTTGTACATTAAAGTCAATTTGTCTATTATCAGCACATGCCATTATTTTTTGAACAATCAGTTCATCCGAGGGTATGCAGTTGTGCTTCCAGCATGGAGTATAAGCTATTCTAGTGGCCGTTAAGATAGGTAATACGATATATTTTATATATTTTTTCCACATTTCTTTTTGAATATCCCTAACAGAAATAGTTCTGGTTCCAATTCTAACTTGTTCCTTAAGAATTTCTTTCAGCCCTTGTTTAATTTTAAGCCCATATTTCTGAGCTTCTGGACAGGACCACCACATGTGATAGAAGGTACCTTCCTTCTTTCTACATTTCCAACATGCTGGATTCATGTTGGGATATATCTTTGTTAGTTTATAATTTAGGTTCCAAATGCTTTCCCACTCTGTCAAATTTATATTATGTCCTATGTTTGGAGCCAAACTATCATACACCCCTTAACAAGGCGCTACGTGGTCTTCACGAGTCCCAAATCAGTCTAGTTTACTTTACTTTATTGTCATTGCACCTTGTACAACGAAATTAAATACCATCATCAGTGTACAATTTATGACTAGGAAAATAAAACACAAACACACCTCCTTCACATTCTATACACTGAATTGAAAATCCCTGATACTGCATGAATATTGCACTATACAGCAGAATTCAAAAGAGCTCCTGCCCTGGGATAGAAGCTGTTTTTCAGCCTATTTGCCCTTGTTTTTATTATTATCCTGTGTACCGTCTGCCAGATGGTAATAATTAAAAAAAAATCTTTGAGAATGTTTTGAACTTTCTTAAAGCTCTTCCAAAGAGGTGGGAGGGCAACCCAGGATCCTCTGGGCAATGACATTAACCCTCTGGAGTGCTTTCCTATCTGCCACAGTGCAATTGGCAAACCAGACACAGGTGCAGTAAGTTAAAATGCTCTCTCTGGTGCAGCGGTAAAAGGTCACCAGCAGTTTCTCATTCAATTGTTGTTTCCTGAGAAGCCTCAGGTAGTATAATCTCTGCTGGGCCCTTTTGACCAGGGCTGCAATGTGAGCCCCCCAGGTCAGGTCCTCTTTTAGGGTAACACCCAGAAACTTAACACTGGCCACTTGCTCCACTCGGTCTCCCTTGATAAGCAAGGGCTGGATGTCTGATCTGTTCCTTCTATATAGTCCACTATCAGCTCCTTGGTCTTATTGGTGTTGAGGACCAAATCAACAGTCTAAATTTGTGAGGGGAAAACCTCTTTTTATTTAGAAAGGCAGGAATTCACGGCATTCACTGACAAAGCTCCAGGTCACACATCCGTGGGCAGTGGTGGGATTCAACGGGTGTAACTACCAGTTTGTCCAAACCGGTCCATACTGGTTGAATCCCGACCCTGTCCGTGGGTGATTCACAAGCTGTTATATATGGAAATAACATATGTATTGCAAGTTACACCCGAGATAATGAAGAACAGAAGGGACTCCATCTTTGTTTAAGATGTGACCTTCTAGAATGATTATTGGTTATCTAACTGTATCTAACAAATATGTACTGTTTTGTGACTTGTTATGTTATAAAGTAAATGTCAGATTTTTGGCTGGAACATGGGGGTTGGCTCAAAGATATAAGAAGGAGATTCTAGGTCATTCTGACTTGAATGGAACTGGTTAATGACCCATTGTGTTCAGAAGAACATAACAGGAAGAAGCTGTGAGAACAAGGGTAGTTTCCAAAGAAAAGGAAACAGGTGGTACGCTATGGGTATGGTATAGGGAGATACATAGTTGGATAGATTGTGAACCCAGGAAAGGGGCAGACACTGCATATTTGAACGTATATAAACCCCAGTCTTCCTGGGGAAAATGTCTTCTACCATGAGCAGAATTCCCTTTTGCAAAAGCTTAATAATAAAGCTCTTTCATATTGTTCACTGTCTCTAGCTGTATTTTGTTATTATTGTCACACAGGCCATTGCAGTCTCTCAGTTCCCCACAGGGAGCCTCCATTAGCACTTCAGTCCCAACACAAAGAGTCCTAATCGACTTGGTTAGTGGCAATGAATTCCTAGCGAGGAATCTGCTGGAGGGAACTTTTCTGGAGCCTGAATGGATGCCTCCCACACCCCTCCTCCTTATATCCCCGCCAAGGAGGGGCTTGTGAACGTCTCCTTCTCTTCCTGGATAGCTGGGCCTCAGTCCTGCATTGCTCTCCTCTCTACACTTCTCTGCGCATACGTGCACCTGGGACAGGACCCAGCTGTTCCTCCCCCTCCCTCATCTCAGGCCCCCAAAACAGCTGTCTCTCCGCCTGAGCGTGAGTAGATGGCCCTGCTTTGCATCTGGCTTTGAGACCTCCTGTTCCTCAGAGCCTTCCACTGGCTCCGATGGTAACCCGGGCACCCTCTCCGTCTCCTCTGGCTCGACTGCCATCCCTGCTGGCAGTCGACGGACCACAACAGCTACAGAGGGAACTGATCACTGAATGGCTGCGGACGAAACCAGGACAGGATCAGGCATCCGCACCAAATTGTGTTGAACGTATGAACGGAGTCCGCTAAAAGGAGGCAAGGGTCCCAAAGCCTGTTCTTACCAGGACAAGCCACTAGGAAGCACTGCTGGGCCTGGGTCTCCTCTCCGAGACAGTGACGGAGGACGTCGTCCGCCCGCCGTGTGCAGCTCCTCCGGCGGATCTGGAGTCCCGTGCCACACGAGCGGCTGCACATGCTCCAGGCTGCCCAGGGCGTCCAGAGGCCGCAGTCCCGCTCATCGGAGGGCAGCCAACCTGAAGCTTCCGTGCCGTCCGCGCAGTTGGCCAAACCGTTGCACACCTGCAAGGATGCGCAACCAGAAGAGGCATGAATGGGCTCTGAAAATCGGAGGCGCAGGAGCCCCTCTAGACTGCCCTCCCCTTTCTGCCACCAGGGACAACCTCAAAGACGTTAGGAATAACAAAATAAGAGTTGGAAGGGACTCTGGAGGTCATCTAGTCCACTGATCTTCAACCTTTCCAGAATTGTGGACCAGCTGGGAGTTGAAGAGGAGATAGTTCCACGCGAGAGACAGGTAGGAGCACATGTGTGCAGCTCCACTTGCACGTGCAACAGACAGGCAAGTGAGTGCACACGCACAGCTCCATTTACGCAAGTGGCGGGCATGCACGCCCACCACTCACACAAACAGAGCTGTGTACGTGCTGTTTACATGGTGTTGCTATTATAGATTCTGTAATCTATCTTCTTTGTCAATTAATGACCCCATAATTCCTTGTGGGGGGAGTCAGAGCAACTGAATGGAGCTGAGCATTTAATGGCCGGATGCCCTTCCCTGTCGCCAATGCAGAGTTTTGTTCAACAGATATATTCTCATTGTGCCAAGAGAGAGAAATAACTGCCTCTACTTTGGATTGAACTCACAGCTTCCTGATTGTGAGGCGAGAGGCTCCACCTCTAGGCCACTGCACTACTCTGATCCCATAATCTATCCAGAGGCTACATCAGTAAATAAAGGAATGAAACAGCGATGAAAAGAAGAAGTGCAGTGATTAGAGAAGACAAGAAAGGGAGAGGAACCGACTCCTCACTGCACCTGTTTAAAGGCAATACAGGCACCATCGCTGCAAGAATATTCCGGACACGGACCAACTGTCTGATTCCTTTCGCCTGGTGGAGCCACCGGGATTTCTATCGGGGGTAAGAACAAGCAGCCATCAGAACCAATACCAGTACCGCCACACTCATCATCCACTCTCCTCCATCACTCAAGAGGCATCCATTTCTTTGCGTGTTAAATACGATAACAGATGGTTAACTGATTATTTTACCTTTGGGATTACCTATTGGTGACTTTTATTAATACAGCGAATGGATGCCGGGACAATTGGATTGACCAATATATACATTTCCACATCTTCTTAAGTAACCTAGTATTTTTTTATCAAATGCAAATGGGGAAAGTGTTATAATCTCGACCTGTGACTTGAGGGGAGGAAGAAAAATGGATCCGATCTTTCTGAGATCTTTTCATAGCACACCATCGCGTACGATCATGTCATTGTGTGAGACAATTGGGCAATCAAGATCATGCAACTGTGGGATGCGGCAAACGGGCACTATCATGCCCTTGTTAGAGTCGGACTCTGAGGGAGAGGAGGAACAACCGACAGGGAGTGGCTCTGGAGGTTGTGTCAGAGGCCGGCTGGGCAGACAGAGGAAGAACCAGGCCCATCCCCTCTTCATCCTAAGACATGAAGGGAGGAACGGAGAAGGAAACAACTTGCTTATGAGAGAGGAAGCGGCCATGATCCCTCTCATTGGTTGCAGCTGGGGAGGCTAGTATATCAGAGAGACGATTACAACGCAGCATTGCCAGAAGCAAAACGTGTTTTCTTTTGGGCTGAAGTTATCTTGGTTGGCGTGCTTCCAATAGACTGTGCCTTGTTATCTCCTTGAATTTGGTAATTACTTATCCTGGTCTGTTGTGGAAATTTTGTCATTGTAGTTTGTTTGTTTTATTTCACCTCTATCTGCTCATTAAGTTCATACTATTTTTGAGTACGTTTTATCGCCAACTGAGAATTCTTGAACAGTGGGGCCTAGTTGGAAGCATTAAAGGACATTTATTTACATTTTGAATTTTGTTATGTTTGTGTTACACTCCGGGTCATCACAGGCATGGTCGCCAGTGCTTGACATGTGGGGTCGGCTGTCAAAATGTCAAACCAATGTAAGTGCCCTCCAGGTAGCTCCATCTAACTTCCAACCAGTTGTACGCTGAAGGCTACCTGTACGTGTGGAAGCTATTTTGATTATTTAAATCAAGTTAAATCTTCAGAAAGTGCAAAGGGGGGGTGATTTAAAGTGCCCTTCCAGGTAGATTCTGTTCTAACCAAGGCTTCCTGAGACATTAACAACCACACGTTAGTCCCAAAAACCTGTTATTTCAACAGCTGTGAATTATAGTCATTCACAGCCCGTAATGAGTCTCAAACAGTTTGTAAATAGTCCCACGGAAGTCTGCCAAAGTCCTTCAGGATAAATCTGATAAGCACGGACCTTTATGTTTCTTGAAATGCTGCTGACGACTAAATTGCCAAGTTGTATAAGACCAAAAGGAGCACAAATTCAACATGGAGCTTCAGGTTTCAAATTGACCAGTATGAACAAAGTTGCTTCCTGCAAAGGCTCCTGTCCCTTTGCTTCTCCTTTATGTCTTATGGAAAAGCCAATCACATCCAAGCCTTACTCCCGAGTCACCCCTTTTGTCTTTAACTTCTTGCCTTCTGGCAGCTCTGTGCACTTGCGCACTGGGAACAGGCTCCTCCTATTCCTCTGCCTTGCTGCTGTCAGCTTCTGGAGGCTTTGGAGTCAGCACATAACTCCCAGATGGCCCTGACTCCATCTCTGTATCGGACGCAGAACCCTCGTCTGAGTCCTCCCCACACTCCTGGACTGGCCCATGTTCCTCCCCGCTATCCAACTCTGCTGCCAGCTCTGCAGGCTGCTGTTGGACCACAACAGACTCAATCCCTCCCTGGCACCCCATCCATATTTTGCACCCCTTTCCCGAGAATTGACTCGTCTGCACACTCCTCCTTTCCTTACCGCAGGCGAGCTCATCTTCTCCCTGGGAACAGTCGGGCGAGCCATCGCACACCCGGGATACGTTGATGCACATCCGGTCATTGCAGATGAAGAACCCGGGGCAAGGGGGGATCTGCGTGGAGCCTGCCTCCAAGACAAAGAAGACTTGTCATCTGTATTGTCATCACCACAGTTTTCCCACAGGTGCAGGGTCCGCTTTTCGGATCGATGGACACCATTTTGTACAATCAAACACAGAAGGTCTAGGACAACTCGACGCTGACAACTCTCTCCAGTCAACTTACCACTGGATAACTCACCTCGGCCAACTTGCCAAAGGGACAACTCAAGGGAAGGACAAGCAAATTGCAGTGGGCTTTGTCTTGCTTTAGATTTAAACCTTCTCAAGCTTGCAGTCCTCAAGTCTGGGCTGAGTTGCAATTCTGTTCTCCCTAGTTTGAGTGATCCTGCATTGAATTTTCCTGTGGCGAGTTGTCTGCAGACAGTCGTATGAGGAAAGTCAGCTGGGAAGAGCTAGCCAGGTGTGCGTGTGTGTGAATTATACCATTCTGCAAATGCAGACATCTGGGTCCAAGTAGCTATTTTTCATGTCCACATTTATTGTGTCTTGACGTTTTTGCTTGGGTCTTGCTTAGTTGGGCGAGAGTGAGAAAATGACCCTAGAGCAGGGGTGTCAAATTCAAGACCCGTGGGCTGGATGCAGCGAGCGATGTGGTCACATCCAGCCCATGGGGCCATCCTGGAAAATTTAAGGAGACATCCCGCGCCACTTCGGCCCGGTCTACCCAATGCTGAGAGGAAACTGGCCAGCAGTTTGGGGAGTGGCATCAAGCTGGCCATGCCCACCCAGCTGGCCACACTTACCCAGTCGGCCATGCCCAGTGACTGGCATGAAGCTGGCCATGCCTGTTCTGACCAAGGCTTCCTGAGATCGTAATTAAGCACACGCTTCATCCAAACAACTCTTGTTTTATTTCAGCGGCTGCGAATTCTGTTCATTTCCAGCCAGTAATGAGTCCCAAACAGTCCCTTGAAATAAGCACCCACCTTTCTCTCCTTTGAATGGCTGCCAACAACTAAAACACCAAATGAACTGTAAAAAGCCAAACGGAGTACAAAGTCCCCACAAAGCTTCAAGGTTGAACCTGAACAAAGGACTTTGCTTCCTGCAAAGGTTTTCCTACCTTTGCACTTCTTTTATATCTTAGGGGAGGGGCAATCACCTCCAAACCTTATTCCTGAGTTGCCCATTTTGTCTTAGCTGCTCTTGCCTTCTAGCAGCTCTGCACACACATGCACTGGGAACAGGCTCCCCTGGTTCCTCTGCCTCGCTGCTGACAGACTCCGGAGGCTTTGGAGTCAGCACCCCACTACCAGATGGTCCTGGCCCCATCTCTGTATCGGACGCAGGGCTCTTGTCTGAGTCCTCCCCAGACTCCCAGACTGGTCCCTGTTCTTCTGCTGCCATCAGCACAGGCTGCCGGTGAAACACAACAATGCCCACCCAGTCAACCATGCCCACCTGCTCCCCCTGAGGTCAACCACAACTCTGATGCGGCCCTCAATTATATTGAGTTTGACACCCCCGGTCTAGAGAAACGGAGGAACGAGAGTCAAGAGTGCACCAGGGAGAAGAGACCGCTCACCACAGGTGTCCACACTTTCGTCAGACTGGTCCTGGCAGTGTGGGACGCCGTCGCAGAGCTGCTGGTAGTGGATGCACTCTGCCCCGTGGGCGCAAGGGAACTGGTCCAGTTCACATGTGCGGTTGCAGTGGAGCTCGTCACTGCCATCGAGGCAATCCGCTTCATTGTCGCACACCCAGCCCCGCGGCTGGCACTCCCCACTGTGGCAGTGGAACTCGTAGCGCCCGCAGGGTGGCCCTGCATGGATGGGAAGGGCAGAAGATCAGATCTGTGCTACAACCGTGTTTACCGATGCCAGAACTGCAGCAGTTCACCAAACAGCCAGGGAAAAGAAAGGTCATAAAACGGGAGAGAACTGTTCTGGCAGCCAGCAGAGCTGGTGCCAGACTTGGACAATGAGGAGGTTGGGGGGGAACCTGGGCCAGTCCTGGAATCTGCGGAAGGCTCTGCGTCGAAGGCAGAGATGGGGCCAAGACCGTCCAACAGTTACCAGCTGCCTTGGGAGTCAGAAATCAGTGGGGAAGAAGAACAGCCGGAGCCTGTTCCCTGTGTGCTCATGCACAGAGCTGCCAGGAGAAGGGAACAGTTAAGGAACAAGGGTCAACTCAAGAGTAAGGGCACAGGTGGACAGTGAATGGCCCCTCCCAGAGGGAATAAAAGAGGAGCAAAAGTGGTTTGCAGGAGACAATTAGTTCAATTCATTAGAGTGAAGATCTGTTCCTGACTTCTTGCTGCTACAGCGTGGCATATAGAAGCTATCAGCCTGGCAACTCTCCAAGCCTGATTAAAGGTCTGTAGTTGTGAGATCTCATGAAAGACTGTTGGATGGGACTTTGCTGGAGGGAAATTCCCTTTAACCTAAAATAAAAGGGGTTTTATCAGGACAAGGAGTCGACTTCGTGCTCTTGGGTAAGCCTGCAGAAATTTGGGGCTCAATTGGGGTCTACCTGCATCGGCTAAGTTGATCTTAAAGGCTAGGTGAGCGGTGACAGCTCCTAATTGAGAGGATCATACACTATGCAAGATCTGATGATCCTCCCATCTCTTGTGTTCTGACCTAGGAGAGTTGCTAGGCCAATAGCTTCCAAACGCCATGCTGTAGCAGCAATTACTTGGCAAGAAGTCACGAACAGATCTTCACCCGAATGAATTGAACTAATTGTCCCCTGCAAACCCCACTCCCCTTTTGCTCCTCTTTTATTCCCTCTGGGAGGGGCCATTCACCATCCACCTATGCCTTTACTCCCGAGTCGACCCTTGTTCCTTAGCTGTTCCCTTCTCCTGGCAGCTCTACGCATGTGCACATTGGGAACAGGCTCCAGCTGTTCTTCTGCCCCACTGATCTCTGACTCCGAAGGCAGCTGATAACTGTCAGACGGCCGTAGTCCCATCTCTGCCTCCAACACAGAGGCCTCGTCCGAGCCTTCCCCAAACTCCAGAACTGGCCCATGTTCCTCTCCAACCTCCTCACTGTCTGAGTCTGCTGCCACCTCCACTGGCCACTGGTGGGCCCACAACACCTTGAGGCTGCTTACCCAGGGTCCTGTTGGCGACAGGCTGACGGGTTCCAGGAAAAGCTGGCGAAACGGTGGGCACAAGAGGGATGGTCTGTATCGGTGGACACCGAGAAGGGTCCTCATCAGTACCATCATTGCAGTCGTGTACACCGTCACACACCTGTGTATGGCTCACACAAGTGGCATTTGGACAAGCTAGCTGGCCTGGAGCGCACATCACCAGATCTATAACGAGAGAGGGAATGGAGCCGGAGACAGAGAATGAAACATTCTGGACTCTCCTTTGGGAGAACATCTGGTGGCCCTAGATACTGTCTGAATACTTGAGTAAGAGAAGAGAATCCCAACACTTGTCTTTGGTAAGGCTGTAGAACAAAGGCCTAAGATGCTGAGCTTGTCGATTGGAAAGGTTGGCAAGTTTGGGCAGTTCAAATCCCCAGCACCGCGTCATGAAGTGAACTCCCGTTCCTTGTCCCAGCTTCTGCCAAAGCACATAAAAAAATGCAAGTAGAAAAATAGGGACCAACTTTGGTGGGAAGGTAACAGTCTTCCCTGGGCCTTTGGCAGCATTTAGTCCTGCTGGTCACAGGACCATGGAGACGTCTTTGGACAGCACTGGCTCTTCAGCTTTGGAACGGAGATGAGCACCACCCCTTAGAGCCAGAAACAACGAGCACGGGGAACCTTTACCTTAGAACCAAGGCTCTAGACATTTCTGGATGAGTTGTCTAGATCAGGAGTCCCCCAACCTGTTCTGACCCAGTTCCCCAAACACGACAAACCCTCTGCAGTGAAACTCCACTATTCCTTTATGAGGAGCGATGGCAGCCCTGGCGAAAAAGTTTCTCTCACACCACAGGCTGACAAGTCTGGCAACATCTATTCATCTCCACCCCCTGCCTTTTCTCCCCAGAGCTAGAGCAGGGCTTTGCTAGCAGTGGTGGCTCTTCCATCCCGAGGTCCGGCCCGTAGATTTCCACTGCTCTCCTCTCCTCGGCAAAAAGTTTCTCTCTCAACGCTGGCTAA